TGCAGAATGATGGTGGGAGGAGGTCGCGCGGACATGGTGCAAAGAATGTCGCCGGAAAAAATGTGCAAGGAATGTAGCAGCTGAATGTGCTACTAAACGAGCGAAAATGTGGCTAATTAAAAAGGGGAGGAAGTGGTGGGGAAGGAGAAGGGGGAGGAGGTGGTGGGGAAGGAGAAGGGGGAGGAGATAAAGGAGGGGGAGAAGGTGGTAAGGGAGGGAGGGAGGGAGGGGGTCGAGGTGGTAAGTGAGTGAGTGAGAGAGGGAGGGATCGGGAGGGGGTCGAGGTGGTAAGTGAGTGAGTGAGAGAGGGAGGGAGGGAGGGATCGAGGTGGTGAGTGAGAGGGAGGGAGGGGGGAGGGGGTCGAGGTGGTAAGTGAGTGAGAGAGGGAGAGAGCGATCGAGGCGTCTTGTGCTCACCGGCCGGCCTGCAGAATGCACAATATATTGTAAGCGGGCAAATCCCACACGCCAGGGAAGTGATGGCGATGCGGGAATGCAACCGGTGTCAGGGGGAATGTACAAAACGGAGACGGGAAGGTCAGCGGTCGGGCCCGAGATCAAAGTGAGCCGTGGCTCGGGACAGAGCCGGCCAGCCGGAAAGCACGTAATTCCGTGAATCAAAGCATTCAATCCGTGAATCGAATCATTCGATCCGTGAATCGAAGCATTCGATCCGTGAATCGAATCATTTGATCCGTGAAAAGAAGCATTCGATCCGTGAATCGAATGATTCGATTCCAGAATCGAATGGTTCGATTCGCAGATCGAATGATTCGATTCCAAAACCGTATGGTTTGATGCCAGGATCGAATGGTTTGATTCTCTTTTCTGATATAAAATCAAATAATGTGAACATTTAAAACAGGGAATTATTGTCGATTTATTGCATATAACATATGGTTAAATAATCAAATATTATATGCGATAAACCAAATGTTATATGCAATAAATCAAATGTTATATGTGATAAATCGAATGTTTATATGTGATAAATCGAATGTTATATGTGATAAAATCAACCATAAAACAAAAATCGAATTATGAAACAAAAAACATGCCATAGCAGACTACATGGTGGTACCACGTACTGATCTCTATTATATGAACTAGTTAGTATAATAAAGATCAGTGGGTGGTACCCTGAGAACAATATATACATATATATATATATATATATATTGTATACATTATATTCTCTGTATAATATATTGTTCTCCGTTATATGTTTTACCGTAGAGGCGTAGACCATATTAATTATTATGAATATTTGTTAAGATATTCTTAGTCTGTCGTGGTGCCAAAGATACAGAATATAGATATTAGAATGGTAGAACCTTTATTCCAACTTTTGGTTGGTAGCGGCCGGCGGTACAGCTGGTTTGACGTTGAGTTTGTTCGCTATTAAATCATTGTTTATCTAGTTATCATTGTTAACCTTGTCAGTTACACCGCCGGTTTTCCTGCACATACGAAAACAACTATTATTAATAATTTGTAAAAAAAAGTAATATTACTTTATTTTTTATTCATGTTATTTGTTTTCTAGAGCAGTCAATACAGAGTAACATGTTTCCTGTTGTTATATTTGGCATAGCATAGTATATACCGATGGGCGGACATCTCAAAAACAGGTGATTCTGTCCATTGACTCAGAAATCTGTTAGTGTTACAAAGAGGTCAAGTGAATTGACGGGACACTGACATCATCTTCGTATGCTTGAAAGGGTTAGTCAGGAAAACATTTTTCTATACTCCCTGCACAATACAGCACATGCACAATGCACTGCATGAAATCACATATACCCACGTTTTGCACATTGGGGAATATGATCATGGTCCATGGTATGGATAAATATGTAGAATCACACTTTGCATTTAACCATTAATTAACATGTTTAAAGTTCTGAAACACATACATGCAAGAAATTTAGAATTTTACCTGCAATTGAAAAAGACAGATATCTTCTCTGTGACGATACATTTTTATGACATAACACTGTACGCATTCTCATTTTTCACTCCTTACAGAATTGTAGAAGCAAGAAAATATGAGAGCAATATTGACATTTATGATAGGAACTTAGTTCTATAGAGAACACGGGTGCCAATCTGTTTATTTAAGGATGCAATTTACATAATTTAGGAACGATATTCATTACTACGTATCCACAAGAAACTCAGATTGCAGGATATCCGCCAGAAAATGTTTTGGGTAAGGTCCAAAAAAGGGAGAAAAGGACTCCTCAAAATCGTACTGCTAAAGAGATGTATGTTAAGTTGTTTTTACGAATGCAACTGCCATTGACATCGACAGTATCAAAAGCAACCATTGAGCAAAGCTTCTCTGATATGAAGCTGATTAAGACGTGCCTGAGGAACCAAATTATACTCGACTCCATGGACAATTTGATGCGAATTTGTGGATAAATGGTTCAGTGGCAAACCGAACCGCCCCCTTAAGTGTATACCAACTAGTGCATTAAATCAGTGACTATCATGTTTGAACCAGTGACCATCTTGTTGTATTAATATATAAGTATGCAAATAAATTTTCATGTTTCTTTAACAAAAATACCATATATTATAATTTTCACTTCAACTATTACTTACATACATAAACAAGTATTTTTTTGCTCATAATTTGGGGTATGGATCCATACCCTAGAAATATTTTTGGATATGGAATTTTACCCTTTCACCCACCTGGCAGAAAACCTGGATTGATAGAGCTGGTCAACAGCCTGGACAAGTAAACATTAACAAATTACCACACGTGGTTAACATTACAAATAAGGCTGTAAGGTGCAAATCATGTAGTGTATTCTTCAAACAGTACTACTGCCTCTTAAGACTACTGATATCAGACATTTACTATCACGTGATAGGCTGCAATACCCCGCCAGGAGACGATGTGCTGGTGAGGCCGGTGAAACGGGCCAAACAACCCACGAACTTCAATCCAACACCACTCCGAGTGATCGATGCCTGAAGTTTAGCGATAACAGTGAAAAGACCATATGGGTCCAGTATGACGTGAAATTCTGTTTATGCACCTGCCAACTTCGGTCAAGGTCGAACCACACAACATCGTTCATTACAGAGTGTGTTAGAAGACCCGATTGTCCCTAAGCCGTCTGATGGATATATAATACACTGTTTACTTTCATGTTTAGCTTTCCTTGCTCATAAAGTTCAAATGTGAAGTGAATACATAATGCGCTGCTTACTTAACCTAACCTATATACCATGTGACTAGAACACTAAACCACTTGACACCAAGACCAGCAACACACCCTTTGAATGTTTACTGGGCAACAGGATAAGCTGCTCCCAAGTTCCTTCCCCATCGCTGACAGCAGATCTCCACTTCATATTGACCGTCAATGCAGATGGGAGTCTTGTAGTCATCACTGAGGAGGCAGACGACAGTGTAGAGTGCAACCTCAAACTCTGGGCTGGTGCCAATGAAGCTGCTGCCGACTGGCTTCACACTATCGTTCCACGAGAACTGGATGCTGATAAGCCGTTGTACATCGTCCCGGGGCTGCGCAGGAATAGTGAAGCATCAGCGTTAACAATAGCTCACATCATTATCAGTACCAAAATCCTCCGTTTTACCTATCAACAAATTAGATTTTACTTGGATTTGTTAACTTTTCTGTTATTAAAACCGTGTGTAAGTTTTGTATTGTAAGGTAATGAACATAAAGTTCACCTTAGAACGAACTAGGAATATGTAATTAGAATCAAAAGAAAAGAATTAAGCTAGAATGACAACAGGAGGTGCTGACAGAAGTAGTAAGAGGATCGTAATACTTACTGTTCCTCGAGGTATGTATCCCAAATAGTCGACATGACCAAGTTTTTCTTGCAGGTAAAATTGTATCCAGTTATGGAAACCAATCACATCTTTCTCTCCTCGTGTCTCTCCAACGAAAACATGTTCAAAACCAGATGAGTCCAAAGATCTAGTTATGAAAATAGAAGAGACAAAGTCATTACACAATCAGTAATTATGTACCCAGAGATGCATGCATGCACATACAAATGCACACATGTAACCACCTGCCCTATGCAAATACAAACATGCATGCATTTTGGAGATGGATTTATTTGTAAATTATAGTTAAATGTTTAGAAAAGTAAGCAAGCTTGATATGCACACGAGAATTTCACGCACGCACGCACACACGCACACATATATATATTTATACAAGTGCCACAAAACAAGTTCGTGTTTATATATGAGATTAGTACCTGTTGCCCTTTGTTCGCCGGTAAAGTTTAAACCACAAGTCGTAGAGTTGTTGCTTGAATTCCTCCTCATCTTCTGATGCTTTTTCATTATCTACCAAGACGCGATGAGCCTCCTAAATAGAAACTGGTTTGTATTTATTACATTACAGTGCATGACTGTACACCTGTACCAGATGTACATTTCCAAGGGGCATGAATAACAGCACATCTACACAACTCTTATTCGCTTGCAAGGCTTCATATTAAAGTACTCCTCCCACTTTAATGTTGCTGTCAATAGAGTAGCAAAAGGTAGATATTTTAAAGTCGTGATTTACACCTGTGCTTCTAAACTTGAATGACACTCAAAAGAATTTTGTTGTATGGCTTTAATTTCCAGCTTACTGCTCGTGATATGTGATGCTTCGACCTAGTGAGATATGATCTGACCAACTCGATTTTTTACCTGTTGGTTTTTGAGGTTGCCCTCTAGCACATGCAATATCGGAACACTGTATATGCGTCAATATTTGTGCTGTTATTAAGGTTAGATAGATACATGCCTTCTAGTGCCATCCTTAATCATCAATTCAACATAGATGGGCTAACAATATTGGACATGAATCATAGCTTCTTACTGGACTTTCATGCAAACAAACAAGAGAATCATGGTAGAATAGACAAGTTTCACATGACTAGTGATATTCTGTGCAAACCGTCTATATATAGATATCATATTGTCTCGTTCTGTCTCTCTCTCTCTCACTCACTCACTCTCACTTTCCTCTCCGTCTCTCTCTCTATATATTTTTTTTTCTTCTATTCATCAAAGTTTGTTGTCATGCCCATAAGAATGTTAAATGCATTTCATTATTTTCCATTTCAAATACCATGGTGTGCATGACGGTAGGTTGAGCTATGCAAGGTAGTGGCTAGTGGCACAGTGATTTCACTTTCTCACCGACTGTGGATTAGCTAACTGCTCTCCAGTTAGTATATAGAGAGGCTTAATCATTATGCTAATATTGCAGAGATGCCAACACATATTTGAAGCAATCTGTAGTTTCTGGCCATCAAATTAGTAGTTTGAGGGTCACGTAGTGACCCGAGTTTGCTAGGGGGTCCGACATGCTCCCCCCCCGAAAAAATGTTTGATTCTGAGATGCAATTTCCTGCATTCTGAGGGTCAAAAATGACAATAAATTAAAAAAAATTTTTTTTTGGATCACAGTGAAATTCGTAGTTTGATACAAACTGGTCATAGTGGTGCAAAATGAATAGAAATTCGTATAAAATACGGATAAATCGTAGTGGTTGGCATCTCTGATATTGTGACGATACCTTCATGACGTCTGTCTCCATGATTGCGTCGATGAATAGCTGGTTCTCATGCATCTCTGCAGGTGTCACTTCCTCACTGACGCCAGCTTCACACGTGTAATTGTTCAGCAGCAGTCTAAAATCTAAAGTCAATGTGTCACAAACACAACACTCAGTAAGACCAATTCCTCCTACACTCTCTTCCTCTTCTCTCCCTTCCCGTTCCTATTCACAAATGGACAATATGAACAAAATGGACAATATATCCACTCCTATGCACTCCTATGCACAAAAATCATGTCTTCACACTTTTCGTCCTATCTCTTATCTCGTTCCTATTCACTAACATAAACCGTTTCCCTTTTGTAAAAATTCGTTTCCTTGCCTCTCTTGGCTCTTTCCTATTCACTAACACAAACCCTGGCTTTTCTTTTTTGCTCTTAACTCTCATCTCTCTTTACCCATCACAAAACGTTCCAAAATTTAAACCATCTGTACTCATGATTGGTACGCCCTCTAACATTGTTGACGTCAATCTGCACCACATCTTCCTGGTGAAACTTTCTAGAAATTTTCTCGCCTACCAAACTAGCATGGCAAATAATGCAACTTCCTGCTGATATTGGGCAAGCGATGGTGCCAGAATGTGTTCAGTAAACCAACCTTTATCTGGCCCATAATTGCCACATGCAGCTGTTAACATGGCTAAACACCAATAATACATCACATTGGGATGAGTAAGAGAGCAAATAGATAAGACTGATGGTAATAGTTAGCTTTTACTATACCTGTACATAGTAACTGCAAATTAACGCTAACAAACGGTATTTATCCACCGTACATGACTCACACCGCACAGTCAATTCATCACCCAGGCACATTCAGCCATGAGGATTCACAGCACATTCAGTGCAATCGGAAGCATAAATTTGAGTAGGACAACATTATTAAAGTAATACTGTACATTTTACTTACGGTTATAGGTCTCACGTTCGAACACCTCTTCTTCATTTACAAATGTAAACAGGGGCTCCCGTGCATAATCTGCACTGCCCTTTCTGTACACTTTTGTATAACCTGTAAGTATAAAACACATCATTAAATTGGAAACCGTTAAGAATGTTAAAATGCATGACAATCATGAGTTCCAAGTACTTAGAATTATTGTTAATTTTGGTTTGGAACCAGGCCGATAATTTACATTCATACCTCTGTGATGCAAATTTACGTGTATATAGGATGCAGATATATACAACCATGGAGGTGCTTTAAATGCAAGTATTTCTGAACAATGACGATCTGCCTTTATGCCCTTGATTACCTTGCAGATCTATGTCATAATCCTTTCCTGGCTCAAGACGATTTTCGTCCAAGTTCCACAATTTAGTAACGATTTGTGATATCTTTTCATTAGGCGTAAACCTATAAAAAAAATTTGCAAGGTCAGCCAGACTGATAGCTGTTAATCACATTAAAAACTGTGTTTACTAGCTCAGGTGTGCAGCATAACGCTTCCAAATGCAATTTCCGCTGTCCAGCAATTTGCAGCAAACAACAATTAATTTTGCAAATGAAACAAATCGATGTATCGCCATATTTGACAAAGGCTTGTTTTCTTTCATTTAAGAAATTCATTCTTAGTTTTGCTTCGTTCTTACTAGAAAACCCCACTTTAAGTTTAGCAGCTGGGGAAAATGCAAGAAAAACGTGTATGTGAGTGTGCTGAGAAATTAGTAATTACCCATTCATAAAACTTTAAAACAAATCCAGAGCGACATTTATTATATTATGTACTTGAATCCTTCAATTTCAATAGTTACCAATGAATATCATATAAATCAGGAGTAGATAATAGGGAAGGAGTGTGACATCAATAAACAAGGGAAATTCGTCATTTACTAGCCTTATAATACCTACGATTTACTACAAGTAACTCATCCAACTTGTGCTCAAATCGTACACAGTACATTCGCCTAGCATCGTGCGAAATCGTTTCCTCGTATACACAAGCAATCCGGAGATACAGACTAAAACGTATGACACAATTATCCATTCTTTGGCCATCAATCCAAGCCGATTGCCCGCCTGTATTTAAACAAAAGGCAGCTTCATCCTTCAAAAAGTCAGAGATCCATTTTAACGTAGTACTTAGTATCCAAATCCAAGTGACCAAGTTTGAAAATTAAAAGGTCATGAGGAAGTATCAAAGGCCTTACTAAAATCTAGGAATACTGCATCAACCTGCTGAGATTTGTCAAGACTTAATGTCCAGTCATGAAAAACGTTGATTAACTGGGTAACGGTAGAAAACCCATGCCGAAACCCATGTTGATGATGGGACAGGATATCATGCCTATCGAAATGGTTCATAACAGAGGAGTAGACTATATATATGCTCAAAAGCCTTAGAGCAAAAAGAAGTCAAAGATATTGGGCGATAATTTGACGCAAGGGAAGATCCACCACCTTTATAAACTGGGGTTATAAGAGCCTTTTTCCAATCAAAAGGAAGATAACCTAGATCGTATGACTGACAAAACAAATTGTGTAGAGAAGGCCCAAGCTCATGCGCAAAATGATGCAGAATAAAACCAGGGACCTTATCGAGACCAGCAGCCTTATGTGGGGATATATATTCTTAAGTACCGAGCATACGCCACTTAGGGAGATAACAATTTTGCTCATCAAGGGGAACTTATAATTTAAAGTTGGAGTAGGTGTTACACAAGAAGTAGAGAAAACCGACTTGAATTGATTACTTAGCAAACAAGCTTTCGATGCAGGGAACTCACAGGAAATACCATCACCACGGAGAAGAGATAGGATACCAGTTTCCCGTTTTTTACACTTCATAAACCTCCAAAAGGGTTTTGCAACTCCATCTGCAAGTTTATCACAGACAATATCATTTAGAAAACTTCGATGGAGTTTACGATTTAATTGCAAGACAAAATTTCTTTGGTTGCGATAACAGGCACTTGGGCCGTTTCAATAATAAAATGATGGTTAACAAGTGCCGCATTAGCACCAGTGCTCATCTGAGGTCTGCTGCTCTACTGTACTGGCCTTTGTTTCTGAACTGCAAAAGGTTGAAATTGAAATTGTTCCATCGCTAAACCGGCTACGTCGTCATCAAAACTGTTTGGCATAGGTATTAACACTAAAACTAAACCCTAACACTGCATCCTACTTCATACCTGCTCGACTGTCTTATTTATCGTGTCATAATGTATCACTAGGCCTATAGTTGCTATGAGATGGCGCGTGCAAGCGTAATCAATAATCAAAGATGGCATCGCCCTTCCTACGTTGGTGATAAGTCAAGAAAGTAGAGATAACCTAATTTCATTGAGTTGCTGAAATTCACAGGCTAAAATCCAAGTATATTCAGGCAGGCGACAATTTCGCTCAGATGTGAGTAATAAATTAAATACATCTCTATTCTAGGTGTGCATGTTTATTAGAATAGAAGTGCCAGTTCACCCCCATGCATGAGTAATGGGTTGTCCCCGGGTTTTTGCCTACATTTTGGATGACGGTAGCCACGCGAGCATTCAGGGTGCTATTAATATACAGACAGCTTTAGAAAATAATATGATTTAAGGAGCGTAAACCTTGTTCAACAAACTTTTGTCTTTGCAATTGAACTGCAAATGTAGCCTCACATCCACACAGGTATATGGCTCTGATAATGCCAAAAGCAGTTCAGTCCTTTGTTAACAGTCAACAAATCCATGTTTAACCCTCCTCTTGAGGGTCAAAAGGTTTATCAGACACTTGCTCTTTGCACGTCAGTGGAAAGCACATTTCATGGTACTTTCAATAAAGTGATAAAAATGGTAGGTCAGCGCTGAAACAAAAAAGTTTTTCACTCTGTCCATTAGGCCATGTCCTCAGAAAATGTCTGATATCTGACCTTTCGCCCACTGCCCTTTGACCTGTGACCTCCAATTTCGCACTGGTGATGGGTTTCCTGCCCATCACACTATACACCGAATATTAAGAGCATACATAAGTCGAGCCGTTCAGAATTTGGCCCGCAATGTCCGATTTCCTCCTATAGCGCTAAGAGAAGGGGGAAAATATGTCCCCCTCCGACCCTTGACTCATTGACCCCGCAATTGGTCATCCCGATCCTTTCCACGAGCCCCCCCCTCCCGAGCGGTCCAAATATCGTGACCCGGTACGTCGAGGCGGTTAAGATTTGTGCCCAACTGTTCACGAGGACGGATGGACGGACAATCATGCGATTCCTAAAAAAAGCAAGCCTTGCAAATCCCCCCCTTGACTACGTCAGATGAGCTAATAAATATCAACTGTCAGTACAAACCCTTACCAGACCAGTACTATCTTAATGTGATCTGACCCTAATAACTGTCACGTTCAATATACCGTCGAATCCACGCGAACACATAGCGCGCACCGCCATGTCCGAATTACACGTAGGAAATAGAGTATATCATTATGTTGTCTTATGGAGTGTTATTATTAGAGTGGTTATTAGAGTTATTATTAGAGTGTGTATAGCACACTCTGAGATTACTGTATTGTGCACAAGGCGTGCACCTAAGAAATGTTGGTTGCAGCGGGTGTATTGGAGCGTATTGAAGTGAAGTTATTAGGGTCAAATCCAACTATTAATGCTGGTACTGGGTAGGCCCTCTAGTACTGACAAGTGTGATTTATTATTATTACCATCATGTTTATTATTGAAACGGCTAAGGTGCCTGTCGAGATGCATATCTAGACCAGCTAATGAGCGTGTTTTGAGATGCTGCCCTTTGAAACAAGTCGCTCCGCTCTTCCTCCTGAGATTTCGTTTAAGGAGGAGGGACAACCAAGGGATTGAAGTCTCGTTATTACAACAAGTAACCTTACGAGGGAGCATAAGGAGTTTACACCCGAAGTGATGGCCGTTAAATTTGCAACCACTTAGATTCAAGGGATGCCTTTGTTGGATAACGGAAACGTATGAGGCATTAAACTCTGTAAATGGGATTCGAGAATGCTTCTTGTATCGGCAGTGGCGTACGGGTACGGTAGCGGCCGTACCTTAAGTCTCGAGGCTACCGGGTCACGGGAGTCCCTTCTCGCTTTCGAGACGGTACGTTAATGAGACAGACGATATGGCGGTGGCGCGCAAGATTTCGAAATAGACTCCTTGGAAATAAATTCAGATAGAGAGTTTAGATGAGCTAGGGAACCCTAACCGCTAACCAACCATGAGCGACCCTAACCCTAACCCTAATCTAACCCTAACACCTAGTCCTACTATCCGCCTCTAACCAAGCGGCGTTCAACGACCGATTGCCCCGCTGTGCCTTTCCCTTGATTCTCTCCGAGGCACAAGCAGACCTAAGAGCAGAACTCGGAGATTCTCCTCTTAGTTGATAGCTGATAAGAGGCGCCGTGGCTGGAGGTAGGCGGTAGCCGCGGCGTACCGTATCCCTCCAGGCCACTTGCGCGTATAGCAGCCTGATCAGAAAACTATTAGAAAGAATCTGCACGTCTCAAGTAGGGCTGCTGACTGTGAGACAGATCTAAATTAAAGATGACACAATGCCATGGGCAGCTACTAGTATATAGTACGAATCTACCAGGGGGACTCACAGATATAGACGAGGGTTCTCCGTCACGTGGATGTCAAAGACAGGGGCTTCTACAAGCGGTGCCTTTTGGGAATAACATCCCGCGGTTTACTACGCGTGCGCCCCGTTTAAATTTACCAGGTCCGCCCGGATAAATTCCACTCAGATGAGTAGAGAGCGCGAGCGTGTCGGTAATCGCGCAGATTCGTCAACCTCATGAAATGATCATTCGACCGCCAGGACGACTCCGTGCGCGGTGTATATTTTCTACACAAGGCTACGCTATGCATGCTACTGCTAGAAGACCTAATAACCTAGCCCCACGACGTCCAGACAGTGCGAGAGCCTGTCCACACCCAGACAGCCTAACTAGTCACATCTCTCCGCACTTCCGGCTATCTTAAAATATAGCGTAACATGAAGAAAGGCCCATCGGAACTACTGGCGTCTCTAGTATGGCTGTCGGTGGTAGGGATTCTGCCGAGCGCATTAAGTTTAGCTGCTAGCGGTATGAAACAAATAACAAGATGAATCGCTCACGACCCCGTAGCCTACAGCCGCCCGATAACAGAGGCCCTCAGTTCCCCCCCCTCCCCCTCCGCCCCTGTTCGTGAATTTCATCCTGGGCGAGAACCCTAAGTAGATGCTAGACCAAATTGGAAAATTAGTAAATACTAAATCAGAGAACTGTTGCTACAACGTTTCGATAGCTCTAGCCTCTAGTACTATACGTCGCGTGACAAGTTGCCGCTGGCTTGCAGGCGGCAGTTAATGTAAGCGGATATATAGTACTACGGCCAGCGGCGGGTTCAAGTGATGAGAACATGGTCCCAATAAAACCAATGTCCTTTACGATCATATCAATATAATAATCATAATAATATTATATCAATATAAGTAGGGTCTCGTTTAGGGTTAGGATAGGGTTAGGGTTAGGGTTCGATTAGGGTTAGGTTAGGCCACATTGGTTTTATTGGGACCATGTTCTCTAATCTCTTGGCCTTGGGCCACTACACTAGGGCCCAAACTTTACAATACACAGTTGAAGTACAAGTTTCGTTAGTAGTACTCGACTCCGAGTAGGCTGAGGTGAACAGTTGTGCGAGTTGAGCAGGGAATGTAGACAAGAATTTTGAAAGACTTACATATTGGTGTACTTGGGTATTCTATATCTAGTAAGATAATTATAGTTTACGACTGTAAGTCACTAAGTGTACTGTAGTGTAGACTGTAGACTGTAGCACTGTAGTTAACAAAACACACATGTCACGGCCTAATCCCTATACTAATTTGTCCGGTAGATGGCGCAATCATAGCTCCTCTGCCGAAAACAAGTTTCCTACGGACCAACGAACAAGATTCTTGTTGTCTGGTCTGAAAGTGTATTATTATTGTTCTTACTGTAAAAGCAACGTGAGTGTTATATGAGATACTACTTCTAATTACCCAGTGTATTTTAATGGCGCTATTATTACTATTTACTATCCAACCGGCCCACACGGCCACAGGCACGGCCGCAGTCTCGCTTGCGCCTTAGCTCATACGTCTAGAATAGGACATACTGTCACTGACGCTGAAGAAGGGCGAGCCCGTGGTACTGTCGTACCGCAAACTTGGACATCTGCACAATCTCGAGATTGTGCACGGATTGTGCGGCCCAAATGCGGATTCGCCTGAGTTTGCTGACCAATCTCCAAGATTGGGCCAATCTGAAAACAGGTCGGTGATTCAACAACGCGCGCATAGCGAGTGTGGGGTCATGGTGCAAACTAAGAAGTAGATTAAATCATATTACCCATATTTTATTATAATCATTCACTATTCTATAACAATCGTGCCAAACACATTGAGGAAAGAAGCAGTATAATACTACCTTATAATGTATGATAAACATTTGAAAGTCCTAATAATCCATTGTTCGTGCAAGCTCGTGTTTACGCTCTGTTTGGCCCAATCTCAAGATTGGTTGCACCAACTGTGGATCCGCTGAAATTCCAAGTTGTGGCAAGATTCCAAGTTTGGCACAACAGTACTGGGCCGGAAAGTACCCTGGGTACGGTCCGGTATACGAACGTACCTGTACTATCTAATATGCCGGACCGTACGCGTCGGCTAGCTCCACTAACGAGTCGGAGTCGCCTACGCCTACTCCCTAACGGCTAACCCTAACCCTAACGCTAACCCTAACCCTAACCATATCAAATAGTGACCAGGTTACGTTCCGGCAGTACCCTGAGCGACATAGACCCTATGAGCGTCACTGACGCTCAAGGGGTCGTTGTCGTATCAGCTACTACAGTACAGATCCGTACCCGAGCCCCGAGGTACATATATGTATACACAAAGTGTACCAGACTTGTACTACAGAAGTGTACCCTAACACTAACCCTAACGCTAACCCTAACCCTATAAACATACATCATATGAAAATATAAACATAATGCCAGGAGTAGATAATAGGGAAGGAGTGTGACTTCAATAAACAAGGGAAATTCGTCATTTACCAGCCTTATAATACCTACGATTTACTACGCGTAACTCATCCAACTTGAGCTCAAATCGTACACAGTACATTCGCCTAGCATCGTGCGAAATCGTTTCCTCGTATACACCCGCAATCCGGAGATACAGACTAAAACGTACGACACGATTTTCCATTCTGTTGCCAGCAAACTCGATGCGTTCGGAGCCTTATTTGAAACAAAAGGCAGCTACTAACCACAGCTTGCTCTCTCGGCCAGGCGGTGTGGCTCGAGGGAGATTGGACATCGACGTAACACTCGGCGAGATAACCTTTGACCCGGCATACAGCTACATACCGGCATACAGCTGGTATGCCCCCCACGCACGCACGTTCACCGCAATCAGCAGCAGCTCCAGCTCCAATCTCCCTGCGAGCCACACGCCTGGCCGAGAGAGCAAGCTGTGGTTATTAGCTGCCTTTTGTTTCAAATAAGGCTCCGAACGCATCGAGTTTGCTGGCAACAGAATGGAAAATCGTGTCGTACGTTTTAGTCTGTATCTGCGGATTGCGGGTGTATACGAGGAAACGATTTCGCACGATGCTAGGGGAATGTAATGTGTACGATTTGAGCTCAAGTTGGATCCGTTACGCGTAGTAAATTGTAGGTATTATAAGGCTAGTAAATGACAAAATTCCCTTGTTTATTGAAGTCACACTCCTTCCCTATTATCTACTCCTGATAATACTAAACAACCTGCTAAAACTAGGGTACCTCGGGTACATATCTGTAGTACCTGATACGACAACGACCCCATCTGCGTCACTGACGCTCAGTCATAGTCATAGTCATACTCATACTAGTCATAGGGTCTAGATGTCTAGCGTACTGCCGGAACGTACCCTGGGTACGGTATACTAGAACGTACCCTGGTAACTATTTGATATGGTTAGGTTTAGGGTGTAGGCGTAGGCTAAATTATTCGAAGGCTTGATAAAGCGGGAATCACTGTATTACATGTGTAGAAATTAATTTTTGAACTTCAGACCACGGACTCCCTCATTTTGCTGCAGACTCTCTCTTTTTGAGGGCAGGGGGTCCGTTGGACTCTCTTATTCAAAAGTTAATTTCTACACCTGTAATACAGTGATTCCCGCTTTATCAAGCCTTCGAATAAATGGGCGCATCACTTAAATGACACATGTCTCTGAAAATCAATCGTTACACGCCTTATCTTAATCGGATTAACCAGAGAGGGCTTTGGTTAAATGAGATATTTTTTGCAGAACAATCTTCATTCTTTCTTTATTGAGCAATACCTAACTTAAAAGTAAGCAAGTATTAAAACAGGAACTTTAAACTAATTCAAATGATTTTGAATATAATGAGCTTACAACTCATTATTAAAGTGAAAGGCATAATAAGCCCATTGCTTATGCAATGTTGACGAATGCTAGAGTAACTGGCACCTTGTGTAGTTAATAAGTACATAACCTTACATCCAAATGCGTATTAGTTTGTCCAATATCATTGCTGGTTACTAAGAAATGTCTAATTGAAATCCGCAGTCCAAAAGTCAGTTGTTTACAGTTTCAAACCGCTGCCGGGGAAGCGGGTGTGATACAGATTTATAATGCACCGGACATTTTCGCACACATGCTCGTCCGTACGCAATGCTGTCATCAGTGATTTCGTAAACACGGACACTCGTGATAAGGGACTTTTTGTCAGAGCTGTCCACGTGCGTCCGTGATTAGTACGTGTGTTTTACTCCATTTCCATGTTTAGTCTGTGGCCATGGTTACACTGCTAACACCTCCATTTCATCTGGCATCCAAAACATACGGGCCGCACAAATATTTACGTCAACGCTTGACTCCTGGGGGCCGTTGTCAGATACAAATTAGTCTTAACATTAGTCTTAACATTAACTTTTTCTCTTAGAGTGTTGACAGAAACTTCGTAAAGTTAAGAGAATTAAAAATTCGTAACTTTTCTCTTAACTTAAGAGATCCTAGACCCTCCCTTAACATTAATATTAAGTTGAAAATAACACATTTGCACTACGAATTACAATTAAAGTGATATTACATTTTATAATAATGAATAAAATGTGTGTTTTTCTTGAAAAACACGTCAAAATCATTAATTATATACCGCTAATAAAATAAAACAATACATTTACAAATGGCGTATGGCATTTGTTCTCTTGTTTAAAACTCTCGCGTCTCGTGTTACAGTGTGAGAATTTGTCTTGTTGTGCAGAATAAATTCGTGACCATGTCATTTTTCATCAAATATTATTTATATGTGGTTAGCCATCATAATATGCATAAATTACTGTGATGCATAAATACAATAAATGTGTATGAATTTGAATTTTGTGATTGATTCTCATCCAATCAGCAGCCTTGTGACATAAAATTATGAAGTTCCTGTTATCGTGAGTTTTCACTTAAGTAAGTTTTGTTACGATAGGTTTCTGTCAACGCTATTAACATTTCTCTTAACATTAACATTAGACTTAAAATTAATCGTAACTTTACGAAGTTTCGGACAACGGGCCCCTGGATGACATGTACGGCACGTAAATGATACGTTGATACATATCAACAACCAATTTCAAGTCTTGTTTGTAATGTAACCAGCAGTGATATTGGACAAACTAATATGCGTTTGGCTATAAGGTTATGTACTTATTAACTACACAAGGTGCCAGTTACTCTAGCATTTGTCAACATTGCATAATCAATGGGCTTATTGCCTTTAAACATGCTAAACATACTTTAGAGCATATGTTGTGTACCATTTGCATGCACCTTACCAGGCATGATAAGTTCTCATTAGGCCGACCAAAAAATTACCTTTGGTTCGGGTCACCCGCCCGACTTCACATTTCGAAGTGATAAAATGTGCGACTGCGGTCACTTTTAGAGGGTTTCAAGAAAAAACAAAATTCAAAGATACCGCCTGCTGATCATACATATTCAAATATCCGACTCTTGTCATTTTATTTACCTAAAGAGAGTTCCAAAATATTTGTAAACTTCGTACCTACGTTTCCTACAACGTGAAACAGTCGTATAGAGCCTGGGCCGGCTACTTCATAAACAGAGGCTGAAGGTCGTATGGCGCGGCGGCCGGCTTTGATGTACGCGATCGATCGCGTACTATATAGTATACGCATGCTATCGTGCTATACGCGGCCGCAGAGCCGTTTACACTTCGGTTACTCGCTCGTTCAAAGGGACGATTAATCGAGCTCCGTTTTTGGAGCGGTTCCTAACACTACTATCCAGGTATTCACATTTTGAAAACAATGTCATGACTTGCAGCAATGGTACATGCAACTGCAAGTCATTTTCATCTCGTGGCTTCTGCATTTCAAGCGGTATACCCTATATTTAACTTGTGGAATTTTTATTTTTTATTTTTGCCTACCTATTTTTTTGCAAGAAAAAAAAATGTTATACCTACCTACCTACCCTAATTTTCACAATCCATGTGACCCGAACCAAAGGTATTTTTTTGTTTGGCCTTAGTTCCAACAAATGCTGGGTTTTTGTTGAAAGGCTAGCTTCATTTACTACATGTATACATCTACACTAGATGCAGTGTGTGTATTGTACAGTGCATGATGTGTAAAACAGTAAAAGCGACTGTTAATTACCAGTAGCCAATAGATCGGTGGACAACATATATGATCACTCTGCAGCAAATATAAGGGTTTAAAATAAACAATCTTCAGTAGTCTAATAGTAGAATTGTAAATTTCCCCTTGCTTCTATTTTTGACTTTAGATGTATAAAATTAATTACCATATGATTAGGTTATATTACACTCTGTTTGAATGTTATTTCCATCATGAGAATTTTATATTTTTTCCGCCAGCATGAAGTTTGCAGTAGAAGGATGCTGTCATGGCGAATTGGACAAGATTTATGAAACAATTGAGTATATTGAAAAAAGGGATGATATCAAGGTAATTATAACATTCCATGAAATGTAATCTTATCTGTAATTGCACATGATTAGAGCCTGTTCAGAGCCTACTGTGAAAATTGGTTTATATGTGTTTTTTCGCTCATCTGACATAGTCAGATGCAGCTTGTAGAATCGCATGATCGTGCGTCCGTCCGTGTGTCCGTACGTGCGTGCGTCAACAGTTGGGCACAAATCTTAACCGCTCGACGTACGGTCACGATATTCGGCACATCGGGGGGGATCGCCAAAACGAGTTGGGATGTCGAAGCTGGGGGTCAAAGGACAAAGGTCAGCGAGGTGTAAAAGAGGGGAACATTCACTCCTTAACTTAAGGTATAGGGAGGAAATGCAGAATTGCGGCACAAATCTAAACGGCTCAACCTAGGCTCGGATAGTCGGTGTATAGCATCATGGTAGGAAAAAGCCATCACGGTGCCGAAATTGGAGGTCACAGGTCAAAGGTCAATGGGGCACAGGGCAGATTTTAGACATTTTCTGAGGACGTGGTCTGACGGAGCGATTGAAAACTTTTTTGTTTCAGCGGTGACCTAGCATTTTTATGGCTTTATTGAAAGGACCATGAAATGTACCTTCTGCTGACATGCGAAGAGTAAGTGTCGGATAACCTTTTGACCCTCAAGAGGAGGGTTAAACATGGATTTGTTTACTGTCTGTTAGAAAGAATTTGGCTGCCGGGTTTGCTAGTAGAATCTATACATGCCTGGATGTATGAGGCTACAAGCCACAGTGAAATTTCAAAAGCTAAATTTGGTTGAAGAGGTTTATGCTCCTTAAATCGTATAATTTCTATGGCATTCTGTACTGTCAGTATGTTACATGTAACGTATGCAACTGCCAGTGGCCACTGCCAGTGCATGTGGTGGTGGTACTGTGTAGTTTTTGCCTGCGTTAATTGGTTACAGGTGGCAGCTCTCTATTGCAGCCTGTAGGCTTGCGTAGGTAAATGGATGAGTGGTTTTTTTTTTAATCTTTTCTTACCTATTCTGTCTTGCAAATAGTTGTTGCTACTACGTACGATGGGAGCTTCCATCTTTAATCTGTAGACATTTAAACGTACGCGCCATCTCGTGGCAACTTTCATAACGATCCCAACGAACATCCCTGTGCATTCCACTATTTCGGCGTGTATGTGAACACATTTGGGACTAACAGGGTTTACTAGAATCCCACCACTCCACCACAGAGTCACCGCAGTAGACGTTAGATGAGCGCTGTCGCTCCGCGGCACTTGTTGTAATTCCTGTGGATTTTCTATAATTGTATTGTAAGTTATAAACAAAATGTAACACAGATTTCCAGTATTTCCAGCGGCTTATAAAAATAGAGGGGTTATGTATATTTTTTATAGTTTCATTTATTTTGGCATGGTTACTAGTATGTGTTAGGAGTTGTGCAATTTTCTATTGTTTGTGCATGTTTATGTGCAGATAGATCTGTTGATATGCTGTGGAGATTTCCAAGCAGTAAGAAACCGATCGGATCTAAGGTGTATGGCTGTTCCGCCGAAGTTCCAGAAGTTGAACACATTTTACAAGTAAGTATATAAATATGTATAATATTTAGTGAGTTACTTTCTAATAGGTCTGTATAGTGTATGAGAGAGTATATTATAATAATGGTTGAAGCATGATTAGGGCGAGTCGCCGGCTTTGCCTCCGAATCAGTTTGTTGCTATGACTTTATATTTTCCATTTTATTTCTTCCTGCTATATCTGTGATCATTTGATCCACATCCATAGACTTGTTTTGAACATTGGATAATTTAAATATTCTTATTAGAAATATCAAGAATATGTTTTTGGTGAGCCGAGAGTAGCACATATGCTACATTTCTGCTTGTTTCACTTAATGTAAATTAAGGTAAACGTTTGGTTGCATGACATACAAATGTAATGTAAGTAAGCATGTTACAGCCCCTGCACACTAGAGCAATATAGCTAAGCAATGAGACTTGCTACTCTGAACTCTGTGACCTCTCTCCAATATATTCCAATATATCTGTATATAATCACGTGATTCACCATCACCAGCTGACCACACACGTGACATGTACTGTATGTAATCGGACATACATGCGAGTCGTTTGGCACATTAAAATGTGCCCACACACTAGAGCAATATTGCTAAGCTGCCGTAAAAATATCAAACATGTTTGATGTATGAGCAATCGGACTCGCGATTCGTTTGGCGCAGTAAAATGTGCCCGCACACTAGAGCTATTACTAGCACTACTATTGCTCGTGAATCCGATTGCTTAGCTATATTGCTCTAGTGTGCGGGGGCCTTTACTAGTCCAATCTCTCATCTGTGTTTGTGCTGCAACTTTTTGAGGAGTGGCATTGTGCAGCATAAACTCAATGCTTGATTTTGAAGACATTTGGTTCGATATTATTTTTATTCATGTTAGGTACTACTCTGGAGAAAAGAAGGCACCGATTCTTACCTTATTCATAGGCGGTAACCATGAGGCGTCTAACTACTTAGGAGAACTACCCTATGGTGGATGGGTCGCACCTAACATTTACTATATGGGTGTGTATAGTGTTCTGTACATCAATTTCTACCAATGTGACACATATATGAGTTTAATCTAGTAAATTATGTGAATGGTTGAAAGTGTCATCTATGGAAGATTCTGATTATTCATGAAATCAATTAATTGATTATAATTTACTAGTTATTAGTTCTATAGTGAACAAAGATGCTACTATTTGTATAGCCGTCAACTACAAAGATATAGCACATAAATCATTATTGTTTTGTACTGATATGCTGTAAGTGATGTCTTCTTGATATTCATCATTGTAAGGGTTAGCATGTGAACTTTTTATTTTCTCAACAGCGATAATAATAAATTACTGGTGTTATCAAATACAGGCTATGCAGGAGTTGTAAGGTTTGGTGGTTTGCGAATTGCTGGCATAACGGGGATCTTCAAGGGACATGATTATCTGAAGGGGCACTTTGAGAAGCCGCCATATGGAGAAGATACAAAGCGTAGTGTTTATCACGTACGCAACCTAGAGGTCTTCCGGTTAAAACAAGTAAGTCTAGCATTTTTCAATTAAGTGTCATTCAGGGTTTCTTCTGAGGAAAAATTAGACAAAGGAGGTAATAGCCAGTTTGGGAAAAAAATTTGCATGATGGATTCAAATACAGGATATATTGATATACTTATAGGTATGTAGATACAGGATATACTTATCAATAAATACAGGAACATTTTCACAATGGCGATGTTAAATTTGACAACGGCGGTGCGCCACTGTGCTTCCTATGTATACAAAACCCTGTCATTGTCAGACCAGCTCTGAATTCATAACTGAAATTGCTTTGAATATAGCCACTCTATAGTTACGTCATGGTCATGGGGTGATCACAATGCGAAAAACTGTATATCTCTCGCAGCTCACTGAAGATATAGATATCTGCATTTCACATGACTGGCCACGTGGCATCTATAACCATGGCAACACTGCACAGCTGCTCCGCAACAAGCCTTTCTTCCGCGAAGAGGTGGAAACAAACAAGCTAGGCTCGTGGCCTGCACAGGAGCTGATGGATAAGCTACAACCCACCTATTGGTTTTCTGCACATCTACATGTAAAGTTTGCTGCTGTGGTACAGTACGAGGTGTGTGTGTGTCTGTGCACTATGCATTGTGTTTGTATGTTGTATTTTGCTGTCACATCATCTGTTTCTAGATGCTCGAATTATGTATGCAGTGTCAATGTCATGGGTGCCTGAATATATATATATATATATATATATATATACACTTAGTAACTGTGTTTTGATATTTATAAGTTTGCGAAAATGTTATGTGTGATGTAATGCATTTTTAATGAATTTTTAATAATTTTAAATTGTCTATTGGTTGTCAGAATGAAGAATCGGATCAGGGCCAAAAGACGACCAAGTTTCTTGCCCTAGACAAATGCCTACCTAGACGTAAATTTTTACAGGTACAATGACAGTTTATTGCCGTATTTTACCATTAATGTTAAATGTTATAGTCATAATAAAACATCAATATTTAGTGCAGGGCCGTAGCCTGCGGGGGGGAGCTGCCCCCCTAGATTTTGGAGCAAAATTAAACAAATATATTGTTCTACTAAAAGAGAATTGTCGTAGTCAGAATGAAGGCTGTACATGTTTTCCGTTACTCAAAAGTGCCTCAAATACCATCTCCTGCGATCTACATTTTCAAAGTTTTCCCAGACCCCCACCTGTTTCTCGCCCCCTCCTTGAAATCCTGGATCCGCCACTGCCCCCCCCCCAGGAATTTACTTTGCCTACGTCCCTGTAGTGTGCAGTATAATTATAAGTAGTGTGTTTATTGTGCCAAAAACCATGTGTATAGCATCTGTAAATATTGTGTCTCTTGCATCACTTTTCATTGATTGACAGTTACATGTGTGAACAACAGTAAAGTAAATTTCAACACACATGCTCGCACAGGTACACACGCCCGCACGTGCGTGCACATGCACACACGCACGCATGTATTAAAGATTCAAGCCCTCATCTAAAAGTCAAAATCACTTATCCAGGAAGTGCTAACATACATGACATACATGACATACAAGTAAGTATTCGTCACGGTAATTTTAATCGCGTTTTGTTCAGGTTATTGACTTCAAAGAGACAGAAAACACACGACTGGAGTTGGAGTATGACAAGGAGTGGCTTGCGGTGCTGCAGAACACCAACCACTTGTTAAACACAACAAGGGTCACACAATATATGCCTGGACCGGGCTGTGGAGGAAGGTGAGTTTATTGAGATATTTCCCCCTAAAAAAAAACATCACAAATACGAAGTTTGCAATCACTACATTGAACCGTGTCTTAACACAACTTAATTATAATTCAGTAACCATCTCAATGTAACCTAATTTGAGATACTATAATATACAGAGGTGGAGGACTTGGAGATGAGGTAAGGAAGAAGTGTCAAAGAAAGTAGAAAGGAAGAATGAAATTCAAAAATGTATGAGAGAAAGAATTGGGAGGATTAGAGCTAGGAGCATAACAGGAAATACTGTACTGTTATTATTGCAGGCACAACTTCACCCCCTCAGAGGCTGAACTGAGGCGAGTCGATCAAGCATTAGGTGGAAACTATGCAGTTCCTAAAAATTTCCAGCAGACTGTACCACCGCACTCAATTGCAAACCCAGACGCACAAAAGTCTGTTGCACCTGTTTGTATGGTGAACCCACAGACAGTAGTGCTGTGCCAGAAACTGGGACTGGATGACCCCCATAGCCTTCTCATGGGACAGTCTATGACCAGTCCGATATATTATCCGTTCCCGATGGAGTCACCAAATGCTGATGAGAGCAACGTTACTGCTGGTGAGCCATCAGACGACACGTACGCATCGTTCAACCCCGATGAGATAACTGTGGACTTGGAAGATGACAGCAGCAGTAGTAGTGGCAGTCCCAAACTCTCGCACCACAGCGCTCCTGGTGGTGACATGCCGCAGCAGATCGGCTTACACGATGAGCAGGACACGAGTGGCATTTTGTCCACAGAGCTTTCAGATGGTGAGGAAAATGCATCGGACTCGTGCTGCAAGCCACTTGCAGCCTCGTCGGAATTGCGTCAGGGCAGCAACGGAGACTCGAGAATGAGAGAGGTGGAGAAGGACAGTGACACTAACACTTCAGAAGTTTGCCTGCTCGCTGGCAGCTCTACACACACCAGTGTTGAAATTCTTGATCATGAGCACTTAGAGGAGAAAGGTACACCAGTAATACCAGCAGCAAGTCCAAAGAGGGACAGTGAATATGTTAAAGTGGAAGGAAGACAAGTGAAGAAGTTCCGACGAAGAAATGCCGCCATCTATCAGGCGCAAAGTGAAGATAGCTCATGATCAGTAACTAGTGCTCCTTTTATGTGGATTTCTACTAGAGACATCTAGTGGTTTGATGAATTTATCTAGTCAGGGTTCTCCCTACGTTGCGCAAACGGGGCGCGCGCCCCCCGTTTGGAAAAACTCCCCCCTGTTTGAATCGTTGCGCCCCGTTTAAATTCCACCACAATAAAAGTTTGCCAGCGCGGGAATCGACCGTCAAGAATTGCCGTTCGACCAGGACATCCGACGCATGCATTTTTACCGTACCACGCATGCACTGCAGACAGTACACAAGTTAACCTGTCACTAACTGTACACCGATTCGGCTATCTTATATATACAAGAACCCCAAATACCGTCTATGGTGTGGTGGCGATTTTACGCATTAATTAGTCGTACGGTAAAAATACACGCCCCCGGACCCCCCTAGTTTCCCCCCCTCCCCCTCCCCTCCCCCCTGTTTGAATTTCATCCTGGGGAGAACCCTGCTAGTGGTTTGATGAATTTATCTAGTGTGTTGTGTCATATGTACCTAATGCAACTTACATAGTGCTAAAGCTGTTACCACATTATTACAAAATCACATGAATATAAGTTTACCAGTTTTAGCAATGCATCAGAACTATTATAGAAAAATCGTTAATTTTGTATTAAATGTAAATACGTTATGGTCATATTTTATATGAATACAGTGGTGTATTATTAAAATTCATACATTCCCTTATATCTACATGCATAAGGTGTAGCTTATGGTCATCTCACTGCTGAATTCTCATGTTGTTTATGGAAGTTAATTGCTTATATTCATGGGTTAGTTCCAGTGTGATAAGGAATGGTGTTTAAAAATTGCATCTTTTTAATTTTTCCTAGTTTTAGAAATTCTGCTTTTTTGCACACCATTTTCGTGAAGATAAGATCCATGGTATTGGTAGCACATGCATGGACAGGTACATAGTGGCATTGTAAATTTATACAAATTCATGGATGTACACACACTTGTTCTTTTGTGTAAGTTGTCAGTTGTTTTTCTAGTAAAAATATTAGTAAAATATTGTTCTAAGTTTTTTTATTTCTATAGGAATTAAAAATAATTTAAATATACCTGACAAGCTTACAACATGAAAACACTGGGTTTTTTTCAGGTGTAACCTATAGACCTATATGAACAGAAGCACATCTATAGTGTAGGATGTAACGATTATCTGGTACCACCACACCAACCACCGGCCGTTTGCAATTGTGCTTAAAGTTGTTTTTCTGCCAAGGGTATCAGTTGAATGTTCGGTCACATTCCACATTTCATCGGGAGTGTTTGTTTTTATTCACTCCGGCTGGTCTCATAGTATAGTCTTAAATTTGAGGCTTTTGAATATTACCGAGGTGTTGAAAAAGACGTTATAAAGGATAAAGGTCGTTATCCTAGAACCTGAATACCTAGAATATATCAGGGGTGGGTTAAAAGTTAGCCTAAAAATAGGGCAGCTTTTAAAGGCCAAATGGGTACCCGGCTCCTTTAAATTACACTAGTGACAGCATAGTAACAAATTTTAAGAACTTCAAATGGTTTAAAATACAAATTATAATTATTCAGCAAGACAATTTCTGTTACTTAGGTTCATATATCCATCAACCTCATAACTACATGATTGAGGCAACAACCAAGTTATAACTTCTGTCAGGGAAGCATCTATATTTACTCCGCATGTTACATCCACTTTCTGTTTCATGCAATCATATTACATAAACTTAGATTGCATTAGTAACTGTTAGTAATTTCCATTAATAAAGACGTCATTGTTGAACATCTAGGTCCCTGGATCTTGTTGCTTGTGGTTCTTTTTGTTTTACTGTCATGTAGTGAGAACTGAAATGAACGGAAATGAAAGAAATACATATTTAAAGGGTAAATTTGAATTAAATATTCTATTCAAGTTCTATGAGGTGCACTTTGTAATTATTCTAAACAAATGAAATAAATATACAACCTGGATAATTACCACGTTTATAGTATATACTTTTGTACTTTTTAGGCAGTAAAAACAGTTAAATATCTCAATGTAAAACACATACAGTTATTGAAACAATCAATTAAACAGAATGAAAAGCTAATTTGCTATCTACCTTGTTCCCAGCTGACCTGATCAATATAGGGAATGATTGTGTGCAGTTCGAGGTCTCTTGATTTTGTCAATGTTCTTCGTAATCAGATCATGCAACACTGACTGAAATGGTAATTTTTTGTATGAAAGTACAATCATGGATACAAAAATTTGTACAAAGACTAAAACTTTCATGTGTTACAGTTTGATATACTTACATATCACATGAATAACTCTGGTATAGAATCATCAATCCTACACGTGACACTGTTGCCATACGGTTTTGTGTTACTTATATTTTAATATTTACCACAGATTTAATACTAAACCTGATGTTTTTGTTTTTACAAAACCGATGGTCTAGCATTTATGTAAAGTATGCACAAATGTTCAAAATATTAAGTATGCAATATGTACTCTAAACCCAACATGTTCATCTTGGTCTGCATAAAGGCTCATATACTTACATAATTATTCCGGAGTTCACAGCACACCAACTGCAGACTAATGAACTGCTTCTCATCCAGTTCATCAATCGCTCTCCTGTAGTCATCCTAAACAAAACATGCAAAAGCTTTTAGCCCTGACACAATATATGTACACCTGACCGTACTAGAGTGGTTACATTAGGCACAAATCTACTCACCACATGTGGATATTTCGCAACCTTGGAGATTATCTTTGCGCGTGTGATGAAATATCGAGAAATCTGATCCAGGAAAGATGCTGCTTCACCCTCTACTGTTCGCACCTCTGCCAAAGTTTCCTCCTGAATATATACATAAGATTAAAATAAAGGTACAATAGCATACAAACGATGAGATAAACCAGATCCATGCAACCACTTGAAAAACAAGTTGGAAACGATTTAAATTAGTTGTGTCCTGGATCACACTACCCAGAAATATGCTGAGCATAATCCTTGATTTAATTCAATCCAATTTCCACATATCAGGGCACGCCTCTGTCACAGCAGACAGTGCTGTTTAAGCTGGGTTTACACTGCCAACTTTGAGTTGGCGAATGGCCGAATTTGAACATAGCTGCTATCGATCGGTTGGACGTGCAACTTTTGCGTTTACACTGCCGATTGTCAGTTGAGAAATTGCGAAGTTGGTACAATTCGGCAATTCGCCAACATAAAGTTGGCAGTGTAAACCCAGTTTTAGACTTGTTCCTCACCCTTTTCCTGTTAGAAGATGAGGAAAAACCTGTATAACCAATAGGTGGCAAAGCATAGGAGGTTGTAAGTGCCAACTGCGACACCGCACTTTCAAGCGTTTTGTACATGGTTTGTAAATCAACTATCCCATTACATGAATAAGTGAATAATCCAATATAACCAGTCCGTACCTGTATTGACACACCAAAGTTGTTTCCGTCTTCGATCCTTGGTATGAGAAATTGTATCCACATTTTTACCTATGAATAAGAGTAGTTATAATAATGAATTTACCATCAAGTTATTCTAGCCTAGTTTTCACCATTTTAGTACTTAGTAGTCGTATTAGCTACATACTTATACTAGTATTACAGTAATATTATTTATGCACACTAATACAGTAAATACTGCTGTTATTTAGACTTGGACTTGCAGTACTATTAGTAGCTATAATCATACTATTGGTACTGTTGTTATACTAGAAGAAACGAACAACAAATGAAGGTTGTTTTAAAACCATTACTGTGCCGATTTTAAATCCCCCTAGCTACTAAAAATGAAAGTGTCAATGACACTGTAGCTCACCACAAATAACGTTTTTATAATAATCAGATTTATGCACTGCCTAAAAGCGGAGCTCCCGATGTGTAACGTGTAAGATTGAGAGGATACGCTTATTACACGTAGCTGCTATATACCACGTGACAATGGTGTTTCCCTGCCCATAACACAACTTTTGTCAAAGGTAAATTGGTTGCATGGAAGTGTTTACTTCGTATGAGTTTTTCTAGGCGGTAGCACACGGTTGCCATCTGTATATCGCAATAATAATTTATAAACCAAAATGAATCACAATTTGTGACAGTAGATGGCGCTATACCCGCTTTGTAGTGATGGCATTCGAAATAAATAGGTTATGCTGCGTTCCGACATGTTTTGTAAAACTTTACTCTAATATAGACGTTTTATCGGCAGGGTGGAAAGGCAATACCAATTTTGCATTAAAGATATTGTCAATGAAATCTTGTAAAACGAACCAGATGAGTGTGACACCACAGACTGTTTGTTATCTGCGTTTTTTGCATAAATTGCATAAACCTACTTAATTTGCATAATTTTTTTTTTAAATATCAAAACCCCTAGCCCTTATTCATTCACATACCAAAAATGAGCAAAATCCATTGAACCTGAACTGATTAATGGGAATTCCCATTTTTGCCAAAAAATTGCCGTGGCTCGAAAGTACGTCGACTGGCGTGCTCCAAAATAGGACGTTCCATATGGGAGCATAGAAGTAACACATATACCCAATTTCAAACATGTGGGTAAAACAGTTCCTGAGTTATCGTTGACCGAAGCTAAATGTTGACGGACGGACGTACGACGGATGACGACCCATGGCAATAGCTCAGCTTGACGATGTCAAGGTGAGCTAATCACAAAAACTAATTTTCTTTCTAATTATTTCATGCTTAACAATAATATAATTATGTTTATTATAATATAAATAGTACTTTAACAAAAATTACAAAACACCACATTTTTTGCAGAGGTACATAATTACCATCATACATGTTCATACCTTGTTGGTATGATCAATCAGCTGTTGAATGTTTGGTTTCATCGTGTCTATGATTTCCACTATGTGTTTATTGGATGGAGCAGACCCAAGTGGCAGCACAAATACTGGCGAACCTGAAAACCCCAAAATGTGTTAAGGATACTCTCCACGTTGTGCACGGGTATTGCTCTAGTGAAGATTAAACGTTTATTGGCGAATGAATCGAATCAATCACTTGTTTTATTTATAGAGGAGATATATCTCTATGCTCAAGCCAAAAAATTTCATGAAATTTCCAGCACCTAATTATGTTACCACACAAATGCCGGGCCGCGGTTACGGAGAAAGACAGGTTGAACCCAGACGAAAGCGATTGTTTTATTAATCAACGTGATTCTGCTCAGCCAACCATCAGCCAATGAACAACAAGCACATGCGATAATTTCTCTAGATCACCCTGAACCAGAGTGAACACAATGCGTCTCAGATACAATGCGCTAAATCACAATGCATTTTTTCTTTTCAGCACAAACGGCGGCTAGCGTTTTCCACTGATGTCGTGTCGTTCCGCGTGTGTGGAGACATAGCATTGTCTGTCTGTCTGTCGTTCCGCCTCCGTCCTCGTACGTCGCCTCGCTGTCCCGTCCGCCCGTACCGTTCGTAGCCCGTCCGCGTCCGTCCGGTCACGTCAGATCAGTCAGTCAGTGAGTCATCATCATGTCAGTCAGTCAAGTCCGTCCGTCCGTGCGTCAGTCCGTCCGTCCGTCAATGAACGAGCATTCATCCATGTCCGCGCATAGCAGGAGTTTATTTACAATTTAGATCTACGCAGGTGTGGTGTGTGTGTGTTTGTGGTGTGTGTGGTGTGTGTGTGTGTGTGTGGTGTTGTGTGTGTGTGTGTGGTGTGTGTGTGTGCGGGTTTTTCGTGCGCGCATTGCGTGTGTGCGTGGTGCGTGGCGCCTGCCGTGTGCGCTGCGCCGCTTGACGTGTGCTGGGTGTGTGCTGTGCGTGCAATGCGTGCGGGCAAAAGCGCGCAGCGGGCTGTGTGTGTGTGTGTGTGTGTGTGTGTGTGTGTGTGTGTTGTTGTTGTGGTGTGTGTGTGTGTGGTGTGTGCTGTGTGTTACTGTCCGATCAGTCCCCGTCGTCACGTCGTTAAGTCCGGTGCGTTACGTCCGCGCCGTCCTCCCGTCCGTCGCCCGTCCGTCCGATCGTCCATCAGTCAGTCCAGTCAGTCAGGTCAGTCAGTACAGTCAGTCAGTCCGTCGTCGCGTGCGTCAGTCTCCGTGCGTCCTGACGTCCGTCCGTCCCGTCCGTCGTCCGTCCGTCCGTCCCGTCCGTCCCGTGCGCCGCTCTGTCTTGCCTGCCTGTCTGTCTGTCTGTCGTCATGGTCTGTCCGTCCGTCCGTTCCGTCGTACGTCCGTCCGTCGTACGTCCCGCAACGCGCCCGTCCGTCCGTCTGTCTGTCTGTCTGTCCTGTCTGTCTGTCGTGCTGTTAATCTGTTTAGCTTTGTCGTTTGTCTGATCTGTCTGTCGTACCCTGCATGCAAAAACTACTAATCCTCCCTTTCTCCGTATTTGTCTCTGACGCTCTCTCTCTCTCTCCATCTCTGCTTCCTCTCGCTCTCTCTCCTCTCCTCATCTCTCACTCATTTCTCATCTCTCTCTCTCTCTCCTCTCTCTCATCTTTTTTCTCTCTCTCTCGTCTCTCCTCTCTCTCTCTGCTCTCTCTCACATCTTCTCTCTCCTCTATCCTCTCGTCTCCCTCTTCTCTCTCTCTATCGCTCTCACCGCATCA